TTTTACTACTGTGATTCTCCTCTTTATACAAGGCATTGCAAATATACTGTATGAAATTAATTTATAGAAATTACTACATGGTATTAATTTAGGGTCATCAATTGCATAGTCTATTCTGAACCTTTAGTTAGGCCAGGAGATAATAATGGCCATAAATTTGCATAAGACAGGGCTGCTAAATATTAAAACTGCTAAAAGAAATTTCTTCAATAGCCATCATATTTCATTGTCATTTTTCATATTCACTATATAAACCTAGTTTGAATTTCAATATTTCTTTATGCCTACTGTACATTTTTTCCTTTCTCCCCCCCGGCCTAATGCAAAGCTAAATGAGGTACTTCTGAATACTTCACTTTGTAGATTATCTGTCCCATGCTAATCCATTTTCCAAACTACATGGTAAAAAAATACAGCTCACCATACATAAAAGATTATTTACATTTATTTTTTTCTTGTAGAATGTTGAAGCTTTTCATTTTATAACTTGAAAATAAATGTTTTGGGTTTGAATTTAGATAAATTCAAACCATGCTAAATTAGACAGGTATCCTGTGGCAAGGTATTTCAGCAGTTGTTATGATATGAGATTAAAGAACATGTTTTACAATCTCAAAATTCCATTGTGGGGAGTTTTTTGACCTCAAATTATTAACAACACTGGACAACTATGATTACTGAGACATAGAAATAAAAAACTTCTGGTTTCCACTTTTTTCTTTTTATAGCTGTCACTATTGCATTCACACTATTGCGGTACTTTCAGCATTTTCTCCTCATTTAGAGCCCAATCAGTCAGCCCAACCAGCAACAGTCACTGCTTCTTCTCCCTATTTAATTTCTTATTTTATCTTTTTCTGGTCTTTCACACAATCTTTTACAAATCCTTACACTATTTTCCACTTAGACCAAACTGTCCTGGTAAGAAAATGAACTCTTCTTTTAGTGAAATTATAGAGGTTCTCTCACGCAGACATTCCACCTTCCTCCTGCATGAAAATCCTATGCAGAGCCAGAAAGAACTACAAAAAAACAAAATAAAAACATCAGGAGGTTGGTTTTTGTTTTTTTTTTTTTTGCTTCTGTCAGCCAAGGGAGATTCTCCACATATTTAAAATAACACTTCCAGATGTCCTAAAATACTGCCTTTTCTGCTTGCACACGGTTTTGAGCCACTTGCACAGTAACTATTGCCTAAAATCTGGAATGCTCTTTTCTCCCACACAGCTCTGCAAGTAATCAGCATAAAGTTGCACACTTAGATTCATTTTAGAATTCTATAGGCACGTAGGGATTTTGCACCTGCCTCATACAGTAAGCACACATTCCTTAAGACATTAAAAAGTTCTGGCTACAAGAATACTTGAATTTAAGCAATAAATTGGTATTTGAGCCCTTAGACAAATATTCTTTCTCTAAGTATAGTGGGAAAAAAAGACCATTTACAATGCATCCTATTTCTAATATTTTTTTATACCTCCAACTCAGCTCTACAACATGAATGGTTGGGTAGCAAAAGAAGATGCTTTAAGAGATATGATGACAGAGTTTCTTCACCTTAGTCAAGTATAATCACAGGAAAATGTGCTAACAGAGTAGTATGAAAAAATGTGACTCTCTTCTCAGCACACAGAGGTTGAAATCTCATTCTCCCACTCCAGAAAAGTCTCAATAAAATCTTCCAATCCTGTTATTTCATCCTATTTGTCCACAAACTAGAAAATCTAGTCTTGTAGAAAGATACTAAGACATCTTATTTCCATACTATGTTAGTATGTTTCCTATAAGATTGCAATTTTAGCTCTCAATTTTTTCCCCTTGCCTCCTCTCTGATAAGATAGTTAATTGGTGATCCTTTTCCCCATTTTGGACATCTTACTAATTAGCTTTACAACTGCTGTTTGTATGTTACTTATAAGAACAATGTCATAGTAAAATCTGAGCCTTTGCTTTCAAAGCAATAGCAGCACATTCAGTACTAAAAAAAGAAATACAAGGAGGAGTGGTTTCACTTGCAAACTCTTTTAACCAGTCCATCAGAAGCATTTCCATGAATTTAATAAAAGTACCAATATTCAATATTCTGAACCTAATGTAATAAATGGTTATCATATTACCCAGCTTTAAAAATTGCTTTACATAATGTAATCACTTACTTGCTCTAATTGAATTTCACTTTACATCATTTAATAAATGAATGCTGATCATTTGACATAATTGAGTAAGTAGTTCAGCTCATTCTCTGTACTTCTTGCGTCAAAAATTATTTGCATCATCTTCCAGGAAGATACTGTGATATTTTAGAGTTAGGCTTCCTTTCTTCTCTCAGCTTCTTTATTACCCTGCGTAATTCCACCTTCTAGGAAGGAGGCTAACCTAGATGTACAAGCCGAATTTTTCAAGAAAATATGAAGTGTAACTCTACAATCTCCTACTACTCTGCACAGTGCACCTCTACAAAGGACTACAAAAGCCATAATTTCAATTAAAGAGTCTTTTTAACTGATTTAACAATATCCATATAAGATAGGCAGGGACTGAGTCTTCAATCACCTTCTAGCAAAGCCTAGATTTTCTACTTTGTGTTTGTGAGACAGAATTTAATTTTGAACTGAAAAGACAAGAGATTTGATGAAGAACAACTCATCATTCAGAAGCTGAATTATGTTCTACTCAGAGTTAAATCAAGCCATCATTCACAATAAAGGAAAAAGGGAAAAAATATAGAGTTCTTGGAAAAAAGTTAGAAAGAGGGAAAGACAGAAAGACAGTTGAGAAAAAGCTGCAATAATGTCTTATATTTCAGAAACAATTCTACTTTTCTGACTGTTGCTTTCTACAAACGATATCACAGTATAATCACCAGCTTCTGCATGGAATATATGGGATATATATGTATATCTATATAAAAATTCCGTAAAATAGTAATCACAGAATATATTTCCAGCTTTGCACTGGAGATCAGTTTTTCCCCTTCAAATCTAAAGCAACGCACTTCTCAGAAATGTTAACTGTAAGTCATCTGCTGCCTTCCTTTACAGCTGCTAATTTTTTTAGATTATGAAAAACAGCTGGTGATCCTTTTAGAATGAAGACTACAAAATGCATAGAATGCAATAGCACCCAAGGATTTATGCATCTTACAGTATAGAAACCAAGTGCGCTTGCTTAGAAATAGTACCATTTTTATTTCAAAAGAAGTTATTCCTGTCCAGAAGTAAGTATTCAGAATCAAACTGCCAAATATCAAAGGGACAATAAAGCTATTGTTTTGTCTTCTACTCTACTAACAATCATTTATAGCTAGATTATGTCTATCTCATGCATCCCCGCACTTATTACCAGGTTTAAGATGTGCTCTTCTACAGGGAAGAATATGCAAGGGAAAAAATAACTAATAAAAGCTATTTCATATATTTAATGTCCAGTTAATTAATTTAATATTTATATTTTCATTCTCTTAGTACAGTAAGAATAAAGGGACTCATGAATGACCTTAACTTTTAGCAGACAGGAGAATAGATGAAGATATCCACATCAGTAACTCTTTAATCACCGTGAAATTATTACTTTCTTCTTAGTGATGAAAAGTATGGGCATTCCCCTTTAAGAGACTAGCTCAGAAAGTGTAAAGTAAGTTGTAAGGTAAAAGATTTAAGAATAATAACCTCCTTAATGAAGGCAAATGGTAAAAAGGTTCTTTATCTACTCCACTCTTCCACTTTCCTTTCTCCAATAAACTCTTTCTCCCTGGGCCTATTGCTGTCACTTCATTGCATCTTTTTAATGTCATAACAGTAATTTGCATTACAAAGCATTTATGTGCCAGGGTACCACAAAGTCCCTATTGTGGCGCTAAACTAGACAAACTTCATTCATTGCCACACCCATCCCATGTCATTCCCTCTTTATTTAAGAACTACTCTGTCTAATGAATTAAATATTTTCCTTTTTCTAAAGCAGTACCTTAATTGTTTGAGGTAGGTTTGGAAGGAGGTGTCTGGATTTTGGTGGGATTTTTGCTTGGTTTGGGTTTGTTGTTTTGGTTTTTTTTTTCTATTGGAGGAGATTTGCAGTATATCTCATGTTTGTTGCTTCACATGGCTAATAATTAGCATTCAAGAACTGACCTAATGTTCTCTTGTTTTTTCTCTTTTCTGCTTGTGAAAATCAGCGTCTGGTGATTTAGGGCCTGAAATTTGCACTAAGTTACCTGAAGTTTTGTAAAAAACATAGGGCAATAGTGATTGAATTGATTATTACTTCAAGCACTAAAGGAATTGCCAGGTCCAGCACTTTTGGTGACCCAGGCCTTGTCCTTGTTTCCAGCCCAGTAAAACCATGTGGTGCAGTTGTAGGCCCTGGAGATCTCCTACACACACTTACCAAAGGCTAGAGCTGCTGGAGTGCCCATTCCCAGGCCAGCAGAAGGGCTCAGGACACTTTCCAAAGGGATACATACAAACAAGCACAGTCCAGCGCAGGTGGAGCAGAGCCTTTGCCAGCCCCTCTCTAAACACCAACAGCACTGACATAAACAAGCATATGTCTAACTTCCACATGCTAGGTTAGTCCCTTTCAGCACATGCAGGCTGGAGGGAGACTGACAGAAAACTAATAAGTGGATTTAGTAAGAAGGGCAGACATATCTTAGGGAAAAGCAGTGTATTTCTAGCATAATTCAAGCACACACTACTTTTTTTCCAAAAAATAATTGACTCCTTCCTTGCTCTGTCATGAAATAAATGAATGAATACAGACAGACTTCCTTGCTCTATTATTTGGGAATTCTTCCTGTGCAACTCCCAAGACTGCCTTACCTCCTGCTGCTCATCATGGTATTACTTACTCTGTTGCTGTCAAATCTATTTAGATTGTACCCTCATGCCACTTCAAAAACTGACATGGATTTTCATTGAAGAATAAGTTACTTAAACCAGCATTTTAGCAAGAAAAATAAATATTAAACTTTATCCAAAGGTCTTATAGAAAAACCAAAGCTTCCAACACAAGTTCGCACATTAATTGCTCTGCAAGATTCTAGTACAGTTAAGATGCAGTCCAAAAGCTCACGACCTCACAACAAGTTGCCCTGAGCCAGATACACCTTTTCTTACTGCTTCCTTCCCCTGCACTCACGTACAGTGGTTTTGTGTCTGCACAAGCTGAAGACTTGTCCCTAGAAGATTTTCACATAAACAATGCTTATTGAAAAATAACCTGTGGGAAAACTGATCCAAGATCATGACACTAAAGAAAAAAAAAATCCAACAGTGATCAATTAGTTTGATTCATTATTATTATTATTATTTATATAATTTTTAAAAATTTTCTTCCAATGCAACAACAAAGTAGTAAAAAGCCAAGGAAACATGTAGGAAAAGGTCCAGCAAAGCAGCTAGTACATATAGTACTGTGAGAAGACATACGAGTCCAGCATACTAAGTTCACGGAATGGCTGACGTCTCATGAGGATGCAATTGCTGACAGCAGCCAAGATCTCCAGGATGCTTAGCACAATACAAGACCAAAAAATGTAGAGCATAGAAAAACACAACTGGTCTTCCAGCTTCTTTAGACAGCCTTCCTCAGAAAGCTGCTCCACATGGCCTAAGTCTCCCCTGCAGAGGGAATGCTTCTCCTTACAGCAGCTTTCAGGGACACAAGTTGGATGATGCAGAGATGATGCCTTTAGCCAGTCTGTGTAGTTGTGGACCCCACAACAGTGCAGCTTCCTCTGTATCTCATCCACAGCACTGCTTCCAGGATCCTGAGAGCATGTCCAGTTGTGCTGGTGAACAAGGTAACTGATAGCACTTTCCAGCGGAGAAGCTGTCCTAACACAGTAGGAACGTGCCAGAGCTACTGAAGACATTTCTAAGCAAAGAAGGAGCAGCAGCAAGTACATCAAAGTCCCTTGCTGATTGCAGGAACTCTTAACAGAAATAGAGACAGCCAAAACTCCAGTAGGTAGCAATATAAGTGCAGTTACAAGAGCCAACCAACCAGGGAGAGACAAGTAAGCCTCCTGAAACAAATATCTGTAGTTCTTGAAAATCAGGATCACTGCAACTCCACCAAACATATGAGCTACAGCAGCACCCCAGAAGATGAAGCCTAAGAACCTCAGCACAGATTGAGCAAAGGACCTACGGTAAGCATCCTGATGGCACCACAAGGAAGCCAGAGCCATCACAGCCCTAACTCTCCTCATTCTGCTCACTCCAGCTAACCCTCCTCATCAGCATTTAAGAGGCTTCAACCCCACTTATCCAGGTGCAGCAGATGATATCTCCACCTAAAAACAATTTGCAAGAGAGCAACTCAGATAAGGCTCCTTAGGACAAAGACTGAGCCCTAAATCAGCTTGATCACATGCTGCTGCTGCTGCAGCTTGTTCAGCACAGCCTGCAGAAACCAAGAAGGTATGTGCCCAGCTTGCTGTGGAGGGTCCCTTACTCTGCTGTCATTGGAGACATCTGCACTTGAAGGAGGACAGCTGGAGGAAGGCTGCACTTCTTTCATGTGTGGAAGACCTAAATGCAGAGGAATAGTCAAAGTGGTAGCGAGCACTGCTTGCTCAGATTACTCGGACTGCCCAACTCTCCCCAGCAGTAGCCAGGATGGCAACACATGGGCAAGTCAGAGCCATCGACAAATGGCTCTGGTTGGAGCAGAGCTTAATGGCTCTGGTTTAAGCAGAGCTATTCAATAAGGAATCTCCACAGGTGATACTCACCTAGACTTATTATCCTCCTCAACACCTTTATCATTCATTCAGTGTTTTAAGGGCCATAATGATGTTAATAATATTCTGCCCTTTTTTACTCAGCAAGTCTTCTCTATAGATAGCTTCAATTACTCAAGACACCTGGATGAGAAATCCCAGCTATTTCACAATTTTACCCCTCAGCTTGCCTTGCCAGTGATCTGACTGACTGCTGTTATGACTGAATACAAGAGGCAGTAAGTGCTATATTAGTTTTTCCTTGTGTGTAAAGAAACTGAACTACACACCAGCTAAATCACTTCACAATAATAACAAAGGGAATTGATGCCACTTATCAGCATTATCAGAAGAATATTATTGCTCCAACTTGTGGTATGCATGAGCCATGCAGGATTGGAAACCCAAATAAATCTTGCCACAGGTGCCAGGAAGGCAGACCCCAAGCCCAGCAGTGATTCTGTAATTGTCCTGATGAAGTCCCTTAAGGTCTCTTTGGTTTCCCAAGACATAGAGCATGACTAATGCAACATACATACATAAGGGAGAATACAGAGATATGATCCTCATTTTCAGAAACATGAGCACCTGCAAACCTGACAGAAAATCAGAATAATTTGGTGCTCAGATCCCTGGAACCCTGTTAAAGTCTCAGCAAAACTGATGATCCCACATCTGTCAGACATTTTACAAGAACCTATTGCTGATATATACAGTATGCATACACAGATGTTGGGCGGATTCCCATCAAAATCTCTTTCTATATGCTGTACAAACAAGTTATTAAGGATAATTATTTTGGAATGAGATAAATTGCTTTTATTATTTTTAATCTTTTCATTAACAGTAATTAGCATGCAGTGATTAACTTGTTAAATCTTAACAAAATCCTTCTTTCAAAGATGCTCTTGAATGTTGTCTTCCTTCTCTGATGTCTGTGTCTGTCCTCTCTCCTGTTCCACCTGCTGCTACCCCCCAGCCCTCCTGCTGTGTTGGTTTTGCTGCCATTCACTTAGTCTCTTGAATGCTTTTTTCCCTGATTTCTGTCTTCTGCATCAAAGAGATGGGGAAGGGGGAAACAGAATTCCCCCTCACCTCTGTACACACATGGAAGCTACACTGATTTGTTTCCACAGTGCAGAAAAAAAAAATCAGAAAAGCGTGAGGAAACATTTCAGAAACACATCAGAAAATACTGTGAGGTGTACTACTGTTTTTTAGCTTGCAAGCTTTGTGAACAAAAGCATGTCAGACTGCCTCTTTTCCTTTCTGCCCTTTCCTGTGCCCATAAAGCTAAATGAGATATTAAGAAATGAGTTACAACATAACTTCCATTTAGCTTATTCTACATCTCTGTGTTCGTGGCAGAACAAATGGGCCAGAGATCATACCAGACCACCAGTACAATACGGAAATCAGAAGCACCAACACTAAACATTGACTGGGAGCCAGTACCCAGGTGAGAGGTCTCAGTGTCCTTGGGGGAAACAGAGCACACTCAGCAGCATGGAAGAGGGAATTGCAGCAGTGGCGACAAATATTGGAAGAGCTATCTAAAACCCTCTACTTTAGCTCTATTCAGAGCTATCCTCACCCTCTATTTGCTATGCAATGCATAGGCACTCAGAAAAAGAAAGCCTCTGCTCAAAATGTAAGATCATGGACAAGAAAAACAGAATTGGTCTCTGAAGTAACCAAAAGACAAACTGGCACCCTCAGTAGCATTGCCTTTGTGATAAGTCATTTTACCTGTGTGTGTGGACAAAAGCTTGAAAAAGCAGTGTGCAAAGCTATCCATCAGGAGACTGTAATGTGACAAAGAGAATATAGGTATGACAGAATAGGAATGCTCCTCTGTTTTCTTTACAGTGGTAAACAGCACAACATGATAAATGCTGTCCCTGTTTTCTCTGAAGTTGTTCCTGCTTATGAACTGATGAGTATTGAAATTCAAATGTGGGTGTAACAGATAATACACCATAGATAAACTATTTTCTGGAATGCTGCTGAAAGTATAATCCTTCAAGTTAATAAAATGTCAACAGTATACTTTTTTTTTGCATTCACTGCTCTAGAAAGCTATAACTGACATTGAACAGCTCTGATGTGCCCAGAAGGTCAGAGAAGCTCATTCCATCTGGCTCCAGGAGTGGGACCAGAGAGCCACACAAGTCAAAGTTGTGTTTGTGCAGGGTAGGCAGCTGACGAAACTCATTTTGGATGACACAGGCTGTCATACAGATTGATCAGGGAGCATAGCTGAGCTGTAAGGGACAACAATTCACATCAAGATGGTCAGCTAGTCTGTTCAGGCTCGTGTGAACAAGACAAAGTCTAGAGGTGACCATGGCATTAGGCTATAGCTACACAAGCCCATCTTAGAATCACAGTCACATAATGGTTTGGGTTGGAAGAAACCTTAGAGATCATCTCATTCTAGTACCCCTGCCACAGGCAAGAAACCTTTCACTAGACCAGACTAGACAATCTTCTAAGCTTCTTACAGGCCTCCTATAAAAAGATACAGGATCTCAAAGCCATAACCTCAGGAACTGCTCTAAGTGTCCCAGTGCCACAGACAAACCCCAAAACTGCCTCTGTAAAACAGCTGCTACTTCCCCTGTAGCCCATGTACAGATGAAGATGTAGATGGTGAAATCCACTTAAAGCACTCAGAAGGAGATTTGTTTTGAGAGTTTGAACTTCTAAAGGCCTTGTTAGATTACGGCACACATAGCATAAAATAAAAAAACATTCTTTAAACCTTTAAGACCATTCTAAAAAACAGTGGTTTTTATCAGTTTCATCAACTCCACTTTTACATTAAGCTTCCCCACTACTACATACCTTCTTGACACCTCCACTGGGTGGCAGCTGATGTGTCACCCAATTGGGCTGGCAAATCCAGAAAAAGTATAAATGGGTATCAGTGGTATTGCTCCTCCTTTCACTGGTCCAAATCCTTTCTGCTGGTGTTGGCAATACATCTTTCCCAAGTCAAAGAGAATTCACACTGATTTTTTCCACTTTCCAAGAAAAACCCTGACTGCATATGACTGCATGTAAAGTGGCAAAAATTAAATAGTAATATGTTGTGGGATCTCAGGATCTGAGTCCTGAGATGCCGAGCCACCGAGACCACCCTTGGGGGGCCCGGGAGTCCTGGAATGTTGCCAGAAGTGTCTGGTGGCAGGACTTTGACCCTACACGGGAGACGACACCTGTATGAAGATAAGAGG